TAAGCTCCGTGAAATCACCGAAAAATGAACTCCACTATGAACTTTCTCAGTGGTTTCAAAACAAAGGAAACAGCACTTCTGTAAAACTAATCAAAATTTATTTTCTCTTTATAAACATTTATACCATGTTGCGTGAACTCCTGACGAGAATCAAGAACAATCAACTTGTTAAAATGTCCAAATGCTCAGAGAAACACATCAAGATTTAGTGGTGAGATCTTCGGACTTCAGAGTGGAAAAATCTGCATAGGAGTGTCCACTTTGAATTGTTGTTTTGCATTTAAGATATGACGACGAAGAAAAGGAAAAATTGGCGACTAGTTTGTAAAACCAAAAATTTGAAAGTCAAATGGAAACTGAGTCAGAGACAGGGAGAAGTCAGCTTGTGGATAATGCGGGTTCTAAAAATTACTAACTTTCAATTTTAATTTTTTTGTCGACGTAACCATTTCTTTCCTCATCATCGATGAAATTAAAAAGAAATTAGAAAACAAATGGAAGAAATAAAATACTTTGTCCACGTGCTTTTTAGGACAGCTTCTATCGTTGTCCGTGCTTACTTAAACAAACTCAAAACACTTTAATCCCACGTTAATTCGATAGAGATAACCAGCGATCATCACCAAAACAAGCAAGGATCAACAACATGAATTTAGAGGAAGTTATCGGTTGTTTCTTGTGAATTGAGACTGGTAACAGCATTCCCATTGGTTGCAGTTTACGACATAAGCATATAGATTTTGACTTGACATTTTTGGAATTAATCAAATCCGTAATCATCATTTTCTGCGTACCCTTTGGTGAAAATTATGTGAAATTGTTCGGTTACCGGGCATAAAGCCAAAGGGACATTTTATGCGCTAACAAATTCCTTCCTTACTTTTTTCCTTTTCGGATTTTGCTTTTTTCTATGAAAACTTTGGTGCAATTAAGCAAAGTAAATTAATATTGATTATAGAAAACTGGAGACTTCATATAAGTAAAGAGTATAAACCTTTTAATACATTCCCCCAAAGAAAAGGATCATGGTATTTCATACGCTTAAGTTTAACATCCTGAGATTTAACAAACACCATTATAAGGTTAATAATTTGAAGGGAACTGTCTAATGAGTTCCATCGATTAACTATCCTATTGTAGAAAGTTTTTTGATTAGTGAAAGGACGCTTGACAGTAGGCACAGTCTTCTTTTAAATTTGTTGTATAGCAGAATAAAGAAATAAAGAAATCAGAGAAGGCGATGGAGAAACAAATCGAAAATTTGGAAAACCTAATTGAAAGCGCGTAAGAGCGCAAAATACTACAAAACCAAAATGTCAAGCTCTGTTCACGTGTAGCTGTGGTTGTTAGTAAATACGTCCATGAGTGGGAGACATTCCATTGCTACCTTCTAATGTCATAGAGTTTTGGAATGTTGTCCGCTCAGATGGTTCTTATGTTTTTTCGGTTAGCTGGTAAAGTTTGTTTTCCCCGTGTGACCGGCATGTCACGTCGGCAAGGGATAAATTAATGCACAAAAATTAATGCAAAGGTTTGATAGTGGAAATTTGTTTCCCTTTTTTTTATAAATTGTTCTAGCTAGCGAAGAGTT